AATGCTACGTATATGAAACAAAGAACTAGAAATCTTTGAACAGGTGCCAGAAAACGTTTAGATCATGTCACATGTAATGAACTATACTAAGGAAAATTTTAAACAAAATTCATTATGCACTGAATTTAAATATATAATATTAATTTATATCCTCCACTTGAAAAATGTTAGCGGACGATTGCTAATCATCTATTTCCAAGTATTTAATTTTATTTTTGTTTGTTTGAATTCACTCTCTGTTTGATGCATTTGCCATGTAAGATAAAACGTCATTACACGCAATTTAGAAAATGACTTCTTAACACGCAATTTAGAAAATAAAAGTAATGTCATGTTTTGAAGAATTTCTGTGTTAATATTGTAAAAAGATTTATAAAACGTTTTCAAATGTTTTCTCTTTCCTCTTATTTTAGGAAACTATTGTCCAGAATTAACAATGACGCCGAGACAATTGCCCGGTACAGTCAGAGCTCTGGGTTACTGGACGCTTTCAATTCCAGTCAACGTATAAAGGTAAAGTGTTAAACACCTTCTAGTCCAGTCAACGTATAAAGGCAGTGTGTAACTATATATAAATGCCGTTTCATCTTGGGATCCTTGCATCAATTGGTGCCGTGACCAGTATTCCCGTTACAATTCACATGTGTAAAGTTTTGAAGCATTACACTTCAAACTAATTATAAACATAGCTATCCAATTTTCAAACGGGATCTGACTTATATTTTCCAGAAGATTAAATGGATATAACGTTTTCCAAATGGGTACATTGATAAGTAGGACTATAGGCCTTGAACAAAGTTTATAGTAGGACCTACCGAGTAACTACAATATTAGATATTTTTCCTTTACCAAACTATAACATGATCATGACCATCGCATCCTATAAATGCTTAGCTAAAAAATTATTGGCTTTGCTTAACATTTTAGACAGCATTTGTAAGTCGGGTTGAGTTTCGTTACCGTTATTTACTCATGCTTCGTATAAATCCATCACTTTTGTTAGGAGATTTTCACCCAGACAACCCCCATACCAATGACGTCATCAGTCACCAGTCCAATCACATGGGATTTCAGTGTTAAACACCTTCAAGAGGCTGGTATACAAAGATTATTGGAACTAAGATTTATTGGTTGTATATAGTTTAGAATAGAATATGAAATATAGGATTTATACATACATGGATCATTATCACAATATTATCATAATTATGTAGTCTATTAATCAACAATATTTTTACACTTTAAACCTACATATGTAAATTTTTAACCATTACACTTCAAAAAAACTAATTATTAACAACATAGCTACCCAAAATTATATGTTATTTAACCCCATGGTGCCCATGGGGTTTTTGTGGGGTTTTTTGTGGGGTATTTTTAAGAATGTTTCCCCATGGATTTTTTTTAAACTTTTCTCAAAAACTACAGAAAATGTTGAATTTTTTTTTTTAAATCAATTTGATTATAAAAACCCCACCATAAAGGAGTAACTACAATATTAAATATTTTTTCCTGTACCAAACTATAACATGATCATGACCATCACATCCTGATAAGTGCTAAGCTAAAAACTTTAATTAACTTTGCTTTACAAAATTAAAAGCATTTGTAAATCGGGTTGATTTTGCATGCACCGTTATTTACTTATACTTCATAAATAAAGCCAAATCACTTTTAAATCCCTCAGGAAGATCTTCCCCACGGGGAAGACAACCCCCATACCAATGACGAGAGTCATCAAACAAAACCAGTCCTTCACATGGGACTTCTTCTGCTGTGAAAAGAATATCTAGTAAGAAGAAATGTTATTCTAAGTTTACATTATTAAAACTAATATATATTGATTATATATAAATTTTATTTCGAAATAATTGTTTTTTTATATACTATAACATATTACACACTGTACCGGTAGGTTAAGAAAATTCAATTAACATTGCATGCAAGCAAAATTTAATGATTTCAACGGTCAATTGCATACATGTACCATTTTCTTTTTCAGAAAAAGTACAGTCCAAATCACTTAGTCAATCCATATATATGCACTGACTTCACTTTTAAAAGCTCACTAGTCAGAAGTTCTAAGTATGGATCGCAGCTAATCTTCTTTTAAAAAAGCAGAGAGAATCAAAAAATTGTCCCCTTTTGATTTTAGAGAAGTCACTGGGACCAGGTCGAGGGTCATCAAACCTAAGCACGCAGTCCTTGGTCAATCGCCGGAGGGAGATCAGTTAAGCGGGTTTGCTGTGGCAAAATCTTCACTTAGCCTGTATCTTCAAAATCTAAATATTTTACAGTTGAAATATCGACATCTAAAATATAACTGGATTATGTGTATTATTACATGGTCCTTGCTTGAAAGTGCACTACTGAATATAAAAAAAAATCAGTCCAAAAAATTTGATACAAAAAAAAAGTATGTAAAAAAAGAAAATTTGTCGAATCACTTCGAAACCCTATGGAAAAAAGGGTGGTGTATGGTGTACAATCATCAGTTTTTTTATTTGTAGAATGGCCACTTACTCTTCACCTTTAAAAGATCACTGTAACGTGCCTGTTGAAGGGAGGGGGGGGGGGGGTGGTGGTAAACCAATTTCACTAAATGTTCAATGCCTATATTAATCATTTATTTCTTTGCAAAAAAGTGGGGGAGGGGATCAAATAATTGTCCCGATTTGATTTTAGAGAAGTCCAGGTCGGTGGACACAGTGGATCTACTGAAGCTGGTGGAGCACGCCGAGATCGTGGTCAATCGCCGGAGGGAGATCGCACGCGAGATTAAGCGGGTTTGTATGGACAGTAAATCTTCACCTTGCAGGCACGTAAAGCCAGGGAGGCCTCCCCCAGCTTCTTTTCAAAAGATCAACATCTTAACATTAAAAATGCTTATTAAAAGACCAGTTGGCACCCCCTCCCCACTTTATGTTGTGGTATAGTCAAAAAGTTTACTGGTATAGGTTATTTAGTAATGTTTCGAAAAATTTTGGTATATATTCTGAAAGAGTTGTAGCCAGCTTCATGAGGGCGCGGGATTCTTCGTTTGGAAGGCTGAAGATGTAAATGCATGAACAGTTTAACAGTTGAATTTTTTTCTAATGATTAATTAATTAATTCAGAGTTGTTAGGGAATTTTTTTAATACTTTATCTTTTTTAGCTACAAAATGAAGAAAATATTCTGAAGACAACAGAAATGATATTAAAGAAAGAGATACAACTTCTACAAAAGCAGGTTAATGACTCTTCAATACTAGTATATGGTCATGTACTCTCCAAGCTATTGGCCAATTGGGCTAAAATGAGGTTTATAATTGTACTTTGTATACAGTGCATATATATGTATAAGCAGGCTTAACTTTTTATTTTGCAGAAATCTAGGACTCCGGCAACTTCACTCCAAAGACTAACTGTGAGGAATTAGGAAACGTGGTCCCATTGGTTCCCTGTGGTCATTTGAAATCACGTGGTTTAAAAAAAATCGAAGTTTATAACAATATTTCCTGACATTTTATTCACGAACTCAAGTTAATTTATGATTTATTCGATCTCTATACATGTGTATGACTATGTATAGCTTGCTCAAATATAATAAACGGTCTGTACGTTCTACAGTGTGATGAATTTTCATATCAGATGATAACTGCATATTTATTTTTGATATACTACTATCATAAATTTAGAAAATGTTAAATAAAAAAAAGATTTAAGATTTACTGGCAATGTTGAAGGATGAGTTTTATTTTTATATGTGCGCATTCCTTTTAGGAAGTGAAGTATATCTTAAAAGATATGGTGGGTAATATTTATACTTTTCATGATTTTTTTTTAAAACGAAAGTCCAACCCCCCCATAGAATATTGGTATACATTGTATATACATGTACATACTAGTATATCACCATATTTAGTTAACTAAAACATCCCCCCCCTCAAAAAAATAAAAATTAAAAAAAATGAGTAAATACACATGTGATAATAAAAAAATGAATAAAATATATAATTAAAAAATAGGTTGTCATTCAAGAGTGGAGCGAAAAAGCAGTTTCAATATTTTCATTTGAGTTAGGGAGCTGAATAGATTACATATAAAATATGTACATGTACTTGCTACCAGGGAATGACAAACGAGGCTTTGTGTAAATGGAACAACAAACGAAACCATTGATAAATCAAATGCATTGAGAAATAGACTGAGATGAACTGCGCAGTATAGAATTGGAGATTATATTTAGATATGTAACTGAAGATGAATAACTGAAGAAATTTATCAACTAGCCTACATATATATTATAATTTTCTAATGATTATTAATAGAATTTCCAGCTTTAGAAGATGGTTAGAAGTGAGAGTTAATATTTGGGTTTTGATCTATCTAGATTTTCTCCGAGAGATCACATCTCGACAGACTCAATCTTTGGTTTTCGAGCTGGTCAGTTTCTTTTAAGGTGGTCCGATCCTCGAATATTCACAATCAATTCATGACTCGAATCCTTTTAATTGAAAATCGTTACATGAAAAGCACAGCCACCTGACGTTATATTTATTTTTGTTTTAATAATTAAGGAATGAAGCTTATTTCAACTTATGTTATCCGATATAACATTTCACACATATTTACGCTTTATAAACCGGGAAGCGGTTTATAAAAAAGCGTAAACTGCCTCAAGTTTTTTATATCGGATTAGTATATACTTTTTCCTTATAATTTAATTTCAGTGTAGACAATGAGACAATATTTCCTCCGGAAAAAGGCATCAATTTGAGCATTATTTTAAAAATAACGTCAAGCGCAGTAATACGTTTTTGACGTAACTCATTGTGACGTAGGCAAGTTATGTTATACAAAATATTATATCTTCCTCAGAACGATTCATACTAGGAAATTAAATTATATAAAAATAACCCTCACTTAATTAATGCTTTATTAGGAGTATATATTTTGAAAAGAAATATAAAAACGTGCAGGTACCTGTGATGAAAAATTATAAAATTCAATGTCTAACTGGTTGAGGATATCTAATAATCTTAATTGTCAGTTTAGCTTATTTTTTTAATGTTCTTAGTAATTGTACCATGAGAACTTTGTTTTAATGAAAGTTTATTAAAGTTCATTAAAAGTTCAACTTTTAACGATGACATCTGGAGCATCGTTTTATTGTACATAACTATTACCTAATTAACATTACCCCCCCCCTCCCCCAACACATATTTAAACCACTAACTTTTAAATTTATTTGCAAAATTTAAGACGTAATGCTTAACATTTTTAGTTTTATTAATGGATAATAGTCTTAAGATTTTAAAAATAAGCAATTAAAACACCTAATTAAGCATTAGCAAGGATTTAGTACTATAATTTTGGACTTTGATCCCTTAAAAAAAATCCTTGATCCGTTCCTTGAATAGCTTTAAAAATGTTGTTAAAATAAAACATGTAACGTTACATAGGCCTACCATGTATATACTAAATTATTCACAAAATGTTTTTTAACGGGGGAGGGATGTCGAAGAGAGTTCAAATAGGAGATAATGCCGTGCATTGTCACACGTGACCACAACACGTTTGTGGGCGTTGTCACAGCAAACCATTCGTCATTTCGACTTTCGGAACCTCTTTAAATTTATCTATATCCGAGGGAAAACTCCCGAGTGTTAGGTAAATATTATGAGCGGAGAAGCGGTGTAGATGTATGTCAGCGAAGTGTTGCTTGTTTCCCGCTAAATCATGCCCACTCTACCCGCAATTGCCCCGTTTTTGGGCGACACAAGTCGCCTGATTTCTTACCGAAAGTTTAGCGAAGCTTCGGCGGTCGGTTTTCTGTCAGCGATTTTATTCGTTGTGTTTTCTGAGCCGCTAAAGAATTACGTTGATTTTGGAGAGAAATGGATGAGTCTGTCTGGCCTGCCGTACCAGATGAACACGGCGATGCTGGGGTTTATCGTGGGCTTCGGATTTGTGAAGATTTTCTTGTTAATGAGGATCTTACTGTTCAGAATGCTGCTAAATTACCAGGGCTGGATGACAAATCCAAAAAGCATGGCTACCAAGGTAAAAGTTACCCCCCTTTAGAAATGTTTTGGTCTCATTTGATCATGTTTTGGCAAATTCGATTTTAAAGACAAAAAATTGCATTAAAAATCATGATAATTATGTAATTTAAATAGTTTTCCGCTTTATAGCACGCGTGAAACAATGTCTGGTTGTCTGGTTTAGCGAGAATGCAATGGAGATCAAAAAGCACTTCACTATGTACAGTGCTGTACTTCTCTAGACGTGTTATGTAATCATGCATGTATATGTATACAGTTGGGTTGATCAAGTTCTAGAGGGCCTATAAAATTTAATGTGTATTTGACTTTTTCTATCAAGAACCGTTCATGAGCTGATTTCAATTAACAATGTTCACATGTAAGAATCCAGAAAGCATTTAGCAATGCAAAACAAGTTTGTTTAAAAAAATGTTTTCATTCCAAATGCTGCATTTTCTGTGCATACTTATGTAAATAATGACAACTTTGAGACATTCTGCTCTGGAAACATGAAAGATACTAAAAAAGTTTTCTGTATAGAAGCTACTAGAAGGCTGTAAATGTAATTAAATGTATAATACATCTGAAATGAAATATAACCATGATAACACAGATCTGTCAAGGTTTATAAGGAGGTGATTGATCTATTGTACATAACTACATATGTCATATTATAACGGGAAGTGTAATCAAACGAGCTAGGGCCAAATGATAACCTCTGTAAAAGGAAAGAAAAAAATGTTTGACTGGACCGAGAATCAAACCAGGTACCCCTGTATCCCCATCTTCGCTAGCCAAGGGTTTCCGATCCGATACCTACTCTACAACCCTTGGCAGATTTGGCCGAAAATTTTAGAACTCGCGCAAACGAATTTGATTGGCTGCGAAGTCCGAGTCTTCGCAAGGTTTTTACTAATCGACGATTTTCGGCTGAATTAAAGTCTGTTCGTGTTTAATGCACAGAATAAAAGTAATATTTACAATGGATGAAAGTTAGAACGTGATCTATGCTTAAAAAACAAGGCATTAATTAATTTGATTTTTTTTCTTTTAATTATATATGTTTTCAAGAATTATTGAAAGGACCACATAAGTCCGTGTTCCGCATTTTAGATGCATCAATTTAAGCCAATCAAATGTCACGGCTCATTGATAATAATTGATATGGCAACAAGTAGAAAGTAGTGTCAAACTCTTGACTAAAAATCCACGAAGAACGATACTTTCTACCACTTTTGAGGTGTGCCCACTGCCCACAGCTGTATAAAGTTGTTTGGATATAATCCACATGGAGGTCGCCATATTGTTTCAAACGTCATATTGATCTACGTATGTTACAGCTATTTTCATTGGACAAATATTAAAGAGCTTCAAGGGACTTAACTCAATTACAGCGATAGGCGGCGCAATCAAAGTTCCCGTTTGATAGGACTAAATCTGCCAAGGGTTGTAGAGTAGGTATCGGATCGGAAACCCTTGGCTAGCGAAGATGCTGTATCCCTAACCGACTGAAATGTCAAGACCTATATATAGTATCCATGGCCCAGACTATTACATTCCTCCCTTCCTCGAAGACCCAGCTCAAGTTCTTATTAGCCCCTGACAGGACTTTCGCTGCAAAAGGGCTGGTCAAAAGCTGCATATCTGTAACATGAAGGGAATGTATGGCTAGGAATTGAATCTGTGACCCCTACATCACTATAGTCAGGTGCTCTACCGACTGAGCTATCCCTGCAGATGTCATCAGCCTTATTAAACCATTACATTTCTCCCTCCTTAAATTGTCTTCACCGTCGAAGACACAACCCAGGTTCTTATTACCCCCTGGCAGGACATTCACCTGTAAGTCCAGGGGTGCATGGTCATTGATTGATACCAAATCTGTAGCAGGAAAAAAAAGAACATGTATAGCTCAACTGGGAATTGAATCCAGGACCCCTGCATCACTAGTCAGGTGCTCTACCCATGATTACCCAGGCCAAAATTAGATCATTACATGGGTATAAATGCTAAAGAGTTATTTTAAAAATGCATTATTTCAAAGGGGGGATAGAAATGTTGAGCTCAAAAACATTTATAAATATTTTTATTGATTAGGAGTCTAGGACTGTTTTAACAAGTTTTAAATAGATATTTGGAGACAAGGACACACTAATTTAAGCATTTATTTGTACACTTTATATTCTATATCATGATAATTTTTCATTGCCATGGCAACTTATTTGATATATTTGTTTTAGATGTGGGCATTGATGCTGAATGCTTTGAGAGGGAATGGCCACTATCCGACCTATTACTTCCAACCAATGCTGCCTAAACTACCAGTCCCTAAACTCAATACAACACTAGACAGGTAAATTATAATTAAATTCTGTTTGTAACACACCATTTAATTGGATAGAAAATTAATTTCTATTGTATAACCCATGTTGCTTATGATTTATGTCAAAAATGTATCAGTCGGCTTGATATACTTAAAAATCAGGTGAAAAGACTTTTTGAAAGAAAAATTGCCCCCCCCCCTCTCAAAAAAGAGAGAAAGGGAGAAAAGCACTATTACTATGATTACATAACAGCTATGTTGAGCAACAGAATGCCTCCTCCCTAGTCCCCCTTCTCAAATTTATACATGATGGATATAATGTATGCGTGTCAGGGTTATTTTCACCTCGCGTTATTTTCGTCCTTTCACATTTGCAAACAATTTTGCTCCATTTTAAATTCACCCAGTCATAGTTTTGTTTAAGAAAATAAACTGAATACACCCAGTTACATTTTAGATTTGCCCTAATGAGGGCAGGGGGAAGGGGCAAAAAATAAAATGAAGGCGAAAATTTCCCTGTGTACAGAAATGATTTCCTGATTTCTTCGTTAGGTACCTCGCCTCCATGAAACCTATTCTATCAGATGAGGACTTCATGCATTTAACCACGTCTGTCCTGGAATTCAAAGAAAAAGAGGGACCAAAGCTACACAAGTATCTCTGTGACAGGTCAGTCGTTTTTAAAAACACTTTATTTTTTAAAATGTCTTTTTAATGATGAATCTTCATTTCTCAAAAAACTGATGACTAGGATACCATGAATATGTTGATTTTTAGGCAGTTCAAACAAGATCTTCATGTTTTTAAATCCTCATGATATCAAAATCCATGAACTTCTTAAAGATTAATTTTGGTTCTTCATTTCCTATTTTTTTTGTTATACCCGGGTATATTGATTAATTTTCATTTGTTTGTGTGTTTGTAGGGTTGCCACTAAGGATAATTAATCTTTGTTTGTGTGTTTGTTTGTAGGGCTGCCACTAAGGATAACTGGCTGATAGAATACTGGCTGAACTACGCCTATCTGGTCAACAGGGAACCATGTGCAGGTACAAATCATACCTATTATATAATTAAAGAAAAATACCTGTAACTGTGATAACTGATTTACATAATTAAAACAAATGTTTTAAATATGAAATTATGACACATTAAAGTGTTTAATATTTGGGCTTTTTTGATTTCAGTAAAAGTGAATTGTTATGCCACGGATCGTAAGGACTGCCCCACAAATAACCAAATAGCTCGAGCCGCTAACTTGATATACTATGTACTCAGGTGAGTATTTTGAGACAGCTCGAGCTGCTAACTTGATATACTATGTGCTCAGGTGAGTATTTTGAGATAGCTCGAGCTGCTAACTTGATATACTATGTGCTCAGGTGAGTATTTTGAGATAGGTTGAGTAGCTTATCTGATTTACTATATATACAGTGGAGCGCATCCTTAACCAGTCAGGGGTGTGATGAAAATCCGCCATTTCTAAAAATGACGGATTTTCGTCTCTTTTTAAAATACGTGATTCCATCATTTTTGTAAATATGACAAATTTTTGTCATTTTCATTTCCGACAAAATGCCTCTTTCACATTTGTTAATCATAGAATTTTGAATTTCCCGCTTTAACAGCAGTGTTTACACGAGTTTCCTTTCATCTGGGTCACTGATTTCTACAGACCACGTGTGTTAGAACATCAACATGGAAAGTGAAAGTTATGTTTTTGCGGTAAAATGTCGAATTTTGGTAGATCTAATTTGCCATTTTTATATGGCTTTTAGCAAGAATACGTACGTGTAGAGAAAAGTCTTGACAAAAAGTTAAAGCAATAAAAAAGTAGTGCGCCCCGTAAAACAAACGAGATATTTCAGTGCGCCTAGACCCTCTATGTATTTTGAAAAAAAACGAAATATCATCATTTTCGTCTTCTTTGCTAATTAATGCAAATACATTGACAAATAACTCTTTTACTCTTATTTTTGTTTGTACTGTCAACATAACCAGTATTGTAGTCAACTGTATTAGAGAAATCAAGTTTGTTTATGATGTTGTTTGTCCTTTTACGGTTGGTGGATCTAACATTTTACAAAGAGAGGTACTCGGTATTCTAGAAACATTCTAAATTTTTATGACTGTTTTTCGTCATTTTCTTAAAAATGACGAGTTTTAGTCTTAATAAAAATTTTACTTTTTGACGAAAAATCGTCCTTTTAAAAATGACAGATTTCCATCACACCCCTGACTGATAACCAAGGAGTGAGGGTGTCTATGGGGGGGGGGGGAGGGGGCATGACTAGTTTAGGGCCTGCAGCCTCAACAAATAAATTGATAAATTAAATCTCATGAATATTTTGGAAAGGGGGGAGGGGCAGCCCAGCGGTGACATCTTCAGTTATCAAAAAAACAAATATAAAAGACGTCGAACATGATGTAACCTTGAATACAATCTTAGGTTTCTTATAGAATAAAGTATTATTTGAACGAATATTCAGAGGGTCTAATAGTTTCTTTTTTTATCCATTTCTGTTACATGTTCAGTATAACTGGAAACTAGGGATGTCAACGAATATTCGAATATTCATTCAAGGAGTTAATATTCGAATATAAACTTAAGATTCGAATATTCGTTTTTAAGTGTACACATGTATAAATGTATTGAGAGAAAAACCTGACAAATCTGATTAGAAATTGAATCATGTTTATGCAAAATTCAAAGACACTCCTCTTGGATTACCTTAAAATTGTGAAGAGTGTACCTATTAAAGTAATTTATTCATTTGTTCATTTAATTAGTGGTATAATAGTTCCCAGTACTTACAATCAGCGTGTATTGTTGTTAGGACACAGTTTTACAGTAAACACGTGGATCCCTTGTTCATTAAAATATCATTAAAACCATTATCAGGAAATTAATTAGCAAAAAGAAATTGCTTTTAATCTTTCTCTTTTAATTAATTGTTCTGTTTGGTATAAATTTGTAGGAGTTATCAGTGTAGATTTAAGTAAGACGATCATAAAACATGAAACATAATAAAAATCTTATGAATCCCCCCCCCCCCCCCCCCCCCAAAAAAAAAAGATTTTGGATGTAAACTCTTCATATATTTGATAATTTAAAAATATAATTGCGCTGCATTTGCCAAACTCTACATGGGTTTTTATTACAAAATAATGGCATATAACATATACTGCTTGACAGAAGAGAGAAGATATGTATTTTATAATGCAAGATGCATTTGTTTTATCGAATATTCGAATATATTCGAATACTCCTATCGAATATTCGAATATCATTTATTCAGAATTTTGACATCCCTACTGGAAACCCTTTAAAGCCAGTGACATTATTCCCTCAGGGGCAAACAGAGTACATGATCTTATGATACTGTTATACAGTACTGTACTATTCTGCCTGTGGGTGCCCTCTGTGGTATAGATTCTGTCTCTTACTATTTGAAGATAGTTCTTATTTGTTGATGAGGAAATGCAGTGTTGTATAATCACGTAAATGAATTGTTCACATTAAGTGAACTGCGTAGGGTGTTCAAAAGGCTGACTCACACAGTGCTTTGTTGTTAAAGGTCAATGTAGATATGGAGCTTTTTAAACAATCAGTTTAAAAAGACAGACCTACAAAGACATAAAAAGTGAATTAATACTGCTATTTTACTCATATCCTATATATCTTGTGCAGTGACCTACTTAGTACACCATTAATTTATTTGGAATTAGGGAGGGGGAGGTGTGGGAAGGGAGGAAGTTTGGGTGAGGATTATATGAATATCAAAGGGGGGGGGAGAGAAAAAAAATTGGTGGGGATTATATAAATATCAAAAGGCTGGGGGGTGTCAAGGAAAGGAATTATATGAACATTAAAGGAATGGGGGGGGGGTGTCATGAAAAAAGTTTTGATGGAAATAAATTAGAGTTGGTTATGCTCATAATGAGGTTTATAGGATATACACAGAGTTAAATAGAATGAAATGTCTGATTCAGATCAGTGCTGTGTTGTGCCTATCTCTATGATGAACAATTTTGATTATTTTGACGGCCATTATTTACAGATAAATTAAAAAATGAACAAATAATTTTAATATGAACTGTTACAATTATTTTGTTCTGTTGTTTTGTTCAAAAATCAATTAGTCACGGCCTCGCCACGAAAAAATTCACCGAATACAATATTATTTTGATGATTTCTGTCAAAGTTTAAATTATGCTTAAAAACTTAACATGATGCCATTATATCTTTAAAATTATCAAGGACTTTTGAAGTTTTCCAGACCTGCCGAACATGTACAAATGCACATGGCATGTCTTTATATATATATGAAATTGTACATAAAAAATTACTTGAAGTATTTTAAAATTTAGAAATTTGTGCATATATGTACTTTATAAGAATAGAAACTTCTTTATGGTATTTCTAGTAAATTACCAGTAAGGAATATATAATTAACTGTATAATAAATCTAACAGTTGATAAAAGCCTCTCTACGGGTTGTCTAGCAGGTCTTTTGTTGTTCAGTGACAGGTAAAGTCACACCTGTTTATTTTCTAACTCCATCAGAGAATCTTCTGGAACTAGAGCCCAATTTCTCCCGCATTCAGCCATGAACTCTCTTTATCTGACATTGTGCAATGATCTTTTATCATGTTTATAATATTACGTCTTTAATATGTTTATAGCTGTTTACAGAGTGTGCATGGATTCTATTTAATTAAAAGTATGGCACAATGTCATATAGACCTGTTACAGTTAGCCATTACATGCACTATAGGGAGCCTGCCATTATAAAGTACATCTGGCGATTGATTTTTAGCAAAGTTTGTCAGAGCAGCCCTATAATTTATGTTTATACAGAAAAGAGAAGCCTGTGTTTATCTGTGTATTGGCATTTTGTTAATGAGTGGAGGAAGATTCTAGAAGTACATAGATGCTTCTCGTATATATGAAAGTATAACCCTACACATAGAGAGGTGTCCATGTAAAGAAATACTGGTATTACATAGGTCAAAATTCTCGCATCTGACAAAATCTGAGTGGCTTTATACAAGGAAATTGGCCTAATTAACCTCTTGAAGCAAGGATGAGGTCTTTTCTGATTTAAGTGGGCATAACATATTTAGATCTGTTGCACAATTTGTAGCTCTGTAGTTTCTGTTTACCTAATTTTCCCCAATATAACATGCTATTGACATAAGACTGTCATATCATTATAGAGGTCAGGTATTTCTACAGGTGAGATGACCTAATTTTGTGGGTAACTGTACCCAGTGACATGAAATGACCTTTTGATGCACATATTGACAGATTTTGTTTCATGTTTATATATCAACATCAGCTGATTCGGGTGAAATCTATGATATGTTGTGATAATTTTTCTGTGTTTACATTGATGTCAAGACGTTATCTGTACTCGTAAATAATTAGAACATCACTCATTCATGTCAATAGTATAGATTGTACCTCTGTTAAATCACTGTATTTAGCGAGCTATAAATCAGATTACACTAATATATTGAGTCAGTTACATTGTCATACCGTGTGATATGGTCCCCCCTCCCTGCCTGGGGCCCCACTATTTTATTTTTACCCCTCACAGGCTCCAAATGTAGGTTCAGACCTTTCACATCAAAGAAGTCGATTAATGTAAAGCATTTTTGAACTAGTCTTTTGTTTCAAGTGTAAAGCATGAAACATTCCAGCTTTTATAAATGTTTGTTTTAATGAAGCTTGAGTTATGTTACTAGAAAGGGGAAAAAAGTCATCTATTACATGAAAGTACAATATATTTTTATTTGTACATGTGTATAATCAATTTCTCAGCTGATTCTCACACTGTCTAGCCATGAAAATATATACAAATGTACATTTTGCATATATATTGATGGATTTTAACTCATTATCATAATTAGGAAAATTGTATCACAGTGACTGTATATCTAGATACTAAAATAAAATTGTGTGGATAATTTGCTCATTATAAAAAGGGAGTGCAATATGTAAATAAAAATGTAGTCATACACACTCATTAATTAATCAGAAACATTAAATAATCGGAAGTGAACTGGAATTTGGACTTACATAGCTCAAAGATAAAACTGTTTGTTCTATATATTCGATAAAAAAATTGTGTGATACATTAGCACTGTTTCAGAAGTGCATTTGATGTTGTTCAAATGAAGTTGTTTTTTAGAAAATGTAGTTATAGCTAAATTAGGTATCTAAAACTTATAGGCTGATCTTCTTTACCATCATTATTGTATATTTTGATTAATTATTAGTCACTTGGAGCTTTATTTATTCAGTCAAACTCACTATCTCAAACTCAATGGGACTTATAGGGAAAATATTGAGTTATCATACCCAAGAGTTGGAGGTATGCAGGGTAAAATTGGTTGGAACTTCCAATTTAAATTCATTTTTACTTATCCATAGTATATGAGAGAGGTTGATGTATGAGGTTCTGACATCAGTTCAACATATATGAAATATCCTAAGAAATACCCTCATATGGGGTGTTATTCAGGTAGACTAGTAGACATCTGATTTGTCAGTTCATTACACTTGTAGACATCTGTGTCCTTTTAATGTACATATGTGGCCAATACGTAATCTATCAAGGACCTGTATACTGATTACCATGGCGATAATATTAGGGTTTGTGTCTCGCTGGTTGACATCTATAATTAAGGCTAAAATCATTGTAAATAAATAGAGAATAAATTCATAACATTTAAAATAATATGATAATGGTGAAACTGTGCAAAATAAAAAAGTTTTCAAACAAATTTTTACTATAAATACTTGATGCAAATTCTCTCAATACACAACACACAGTCATAAGTGAGATTTTATTTGACATAATTTTAGAATTGTATCGTAATGTATGCTGATACCGAAAGTTTATCACCTTGTATACACATGCTTCTGATGGGCTTTTGTTGATCATTGTAGGTTCCATGAGCAGACCCAGGATGAAACCCTGACCCCTCAATATCTTCAAGATATGATCCCCATGTGTATGGAGGGTTATAGGTAAGTTATTACATCTTTATTACAAGTGTGTACTTATATATGTACATGTGAAATGTTTATCGAAGACTATCCACATGTGTATTGAGGGTTTACAGGAGAGGCATGTTATTTTGTGTATTGCAAGGAAACAGTACAACACAATGAGTAATAATTTTTTAGGATAAGAGATATGATATTTAATACAATACATTCTATGTGTACATGTTTGAAAAATTCTCTAGTTTTTATTATTAATTAACCTTCATAATTTTTTTCTATTGTAGACAACAATTTTCAACAACCAGAATTCCTTATGAAACAATAGATCAACTGATGAAATATGAAGATTCTAAGCATATTGTGGTCTACAGGTCGGTAGTGATCAACATGATAAACTCACTCATTCTCACTGACATTAGAAATGTACTTACCCTGCCTCTGATAAAAATCGTGAAATTTCATTGGTCGAGCGCAATACTGCATGAAGCAATGTTATGCTGTCTTCCCACCTCACATTGCTAATGTACCCCCTCAACATGACCTACCCACCATAATATAAAAAATTTACCAACCACACATCATCAATATACTGCTTTCACGTGACCCGCATATGGATTCGCCCAATATGGATTTTTTCAAGGACCCCACATATTTGTATACATCATGTATTAATACTTGAAGAAACTTGAAAAGTTTATAATTCTTTTAAAATTGTACAGCTGTGACTGTAATTGTTATATTGACAGAAATGGTGCCTTTTTCAAGCTGGAGGTGTTTGCTCCTGACAGTGATGGCAAGAAAAGGTTGCTGACAGTCACAGAATTATACGATCTTCTACAACAGATAAACCACCAAAGTCAGGGTGGGCACAGGAATTACTTTTACAATTGCAGAGTAATTAAATGCTTGTATTCAGATAGTTTTTTCTTTTCGACAAAAAGTATAGTAAATACGATGCATGCAAATACTGTATACAGGGAAATATTCGCCCCCATTTTATTTCCGACCCTCTTGCCCTCTCGATGGGACAAATTAAAAACAGGTCACATTCAAATTACACCTCAGAATTTCATAGACAGAACTATTACTTGGCAAATTTAAAATGGGGCAAAATTGTTCACAAGTTCAAAAGGGCAAAAGTAACTCGGGGTGAAAATAACCCTGTATACAGTAGTGCTTTTGTTAGCTCACCTGAGCTGAAAGCTCAAGTGAGCTTTTCTGATTACATTTTGTCCGGTGTCCGTCTGTCTGTCCGTCTGTCTAGCTGTCCGTCTGTCTGTAAACTTTTCACATTTTCGACTTCTTCTCAAGAACCGCTGGGCCAATTTCAACCAAACTTACCACAAAGTATCCTTGGGTGAAGGGGATTCAAGTTTGTTCAAATGAAGGGCCACGCCCTCAGTCAAGGGGAGATAATTTGGGAATTAATGAAAATTTGGTGGCATATTTTATATAAAAATCTTCTTCTCAAGAACCACTGTGCCAGGAAAGATGAAACTTATGGGAAAACATCCTGAGGTAGTGTAGATTCAAGTTTATTCAAATCATGACCCTCGGGGGTAGGGCGGGGCCAAAATGGCCGACCAAAGTTTTACATAGAAATATGTAGGAAAATTCTTTTAAAAATTCTTCTCAAGAATGACAAAGCCATAATTGATCATATTTATATGGAAGCATGCTCAGGTAGTTTAAATTCAAATTTGTTCAAATCATCACCCCCTGGGGTAGGGCGGGGCCAAAATGGCCGACCAAAGTTTTACATAGAAATATATAGGAAAATTCTTTAAAAATCTTCTTCACAAGAATGACAAAGCCATAATTCATCATATTTATATGGAAGCAAGCTTAGGTAGTGTAGATTCAAGTTTCTTCAAATCATGACCCCCCCGGGATAGGGCGGGGCCAAAATGGCCGACCAAAGTTTTACATAGAAATATATAGGAAAATTCTTTAAAAATCTTCTTCTCAAGAATGACAAAGCCATAATTCATTATATTTATATGGAAGCATGCTCAGATAGTGTAGATTCAATTTTGTTCAAATCATGATCCCCGGGGGTAGGGCGGGGCTACAATGGTCGACCAAAGTTATATACAGAAATATATAGGAAAATTCTTTTAAAATCTTCTTCTCAAGAATGACAAAGCCATAATTCATCATATTTATATGGAAGCAAGCTTAGGTAGTGTAGATTCAAGTTTGTTCACATCATGACCCCCAGGGGTACGGCGGGGCCAAAATGGCGGACCAAAGCTTTTAAAGATATATATAGAAAAATTCTTTAAAAATCATTTTATAAAAAATAGCAAATCCATTATTGGTCATTGGTCTACATTTGGATTTAAACTTTACAATAAAAAGCCATTTTCTACTTTTTCCTACCCTTAGTGTTCAGGTGAGCGATGTGGCCCATGGGCCTCTTGTTTGAACTTCTGTCCTTGAACAATTTTTTCAAAAATTATCTTCTGGCTTGCTAGTGCTAATTTAAGTTTATTACACTCAAGCTATTATCAGCTAACTTCTGCTCTGAATTTATGTATAATTAAAAGAATTAAAAACCTACATGTAGTAACATTTTTTCTTCAGATAATGATGAAGCATCTCGAGTGGCTGTGTTTACATCAGAAAGAAGAGACACATGGGCCAAGGTCAGAAACTGTATTTAAATTAATCATTAGTAAAAAAATCTTTGTTTAATTAGACTCAGTCATTAATCTTAAAAAAAATATCTTGAATGATTTCATGGTGACTAGAACTCATTAAGCTTTTATAATCATAAAGAGCAACATTATAAGCTGCAGAGTTTTTAAAAGAGGCAAGTTTTGCAATAGGAGAAAGTGCACAGAACTAGAAGGTAACAGGAACCTGTTAATTAATTATTGATTAATTATGTTTATAGGTTAGACAGAGACTGCTAACAACCAGCAACAGATCCAGTCTGGAGGCGGTAGAGTCCTCCATCTTCTTTGTTTCTCTGGATGACATCGCCCCAAAGGTCAGCACAGCTAAAGTTACTGTTAAAATAAGCTTTGTTTTACATAAACTTGCATTGAGTCATGTTATTTCATTTATCAGTTGTTGCATACATGAAAGAAATTTTGGTCTATTTTTAGAACATTTTTTTTATTTTTAGAATATTTCTATAATTTTTAAATTCTATTTTTAGAGCATTGAGGAAAATGGGACCTTCACAATGACAGGAAATGGTTTCAACAGGTAAGGTACAGGTTTGTCTAAAATCAGAGGACATTTAGGTGACTACAGGGTGTTATCAAAATAAAAATATGTCCATTTTAGAAAACATGCATTGAATTTTACTATAGGAACTAATGGTATATTTTGAAAAAAAGTCTTTATTGACATGGTTAATCTAATAAATTTAAAGTATTATACTATAAATATAAACATGATGAACATGCAAGAGATACCCAATTAAATTAGAACTGTTACTTTTTCTAATAAACAGAAACAGAAATTTCCTGTTGATTGTTTACATGATACAGTGTATGTATAATCATTTAAGACTGCTTGTGAAGCAGTGTTGCTTGGTTTGGATAAGTCAACCTTTGTTGACCTTTAACCTTGTTTTATTGGACATTGTCAGGTGGTTTGACAAGTCGATACAATTCTCAGTGTTCCGTAACGGTAAAGTGGGAACCAACGTGGAACACGGCAGTGTGGACGCCACTGTGAGTCGTCACGTGTCACTTCCTGTTTGTGTTGTGCCACTTCCTGTTTGTGTTGTGCACTGCGTAGCTTAGTGTCATAGACAGAAATATATTAGAATTCCTTGTAGCATAGAATCAGACACTGCGCCTGTTATATTTACATAGAAGTTTTCTTTGTCTTGTTCACTTTATTGAATTATTAACATGATGTCACTGGAAATATGTTTATATCAAATTATTTTTGTCTATTTAATAAGTTAATAAAATGTGTATATGAAATAAATGTATATATTTTCTACTATGACAAGGAAAGCTTTTAAAAAAATCTTGTACACTCATACTCTTTTGTTTTGCTAACTTCTGTTTTGTTTCACTTCACACGCTGCTTCAGAAATAATCATAAGTTTTACTAACATATCAATTTATGAATACATGGTAATTTTTGCAGCAGAACTCAGCTATGCTGTAATTTTAAACAAAAAACTGATTAGGGACATGACAATTAATACTGTGTATAACAAAGGAGAGATTTATTTTGTTAATTTTTGGAAAAATGAGGAAATGAATGGGGGTAGAATTAGTTGACATTAAATAACTGCTCTGAAGCAGTGTGTAAACTGATAACCTGTTTGTTCCATATAGCCTACATCCCAGGGCTCCATGGGGAATTTGTTTAATTCTTGTAGAACTCTGTAACTAGCTGTTTATCTGCACTGCATCACAAGAGTATGTACTAATAGGGAAACAGGGAAAGTACATATAGCTGTTAATAGTAGTAGTTTGAATTTAGACCAGTTGTGATGTTATTTTCACCTGTTACTTGACCAGAGTACCTGAGCTGGTACAGACTACTTTCATAAGGAAGTGCTTGTAGGAATTTCATGTCCATTATAACTTAATTTGTTACAATTCTGACATCTTTGACAGGTGGTTTGATAAGCCGGCTCAGTTTGTATTGTATGACGATGGTCGTCCATTGTAACAATTGTGACTTTTTTAACAGGTGGTTTGATAAGTCGGCTCAGTTTATATTGTATGTTGACGGTCGTACGGGGGTGTGTGGGGAACACTCGTCTGTGGATGCTACCGTGAGTAACGGATTCAGAGTCGGGGATTTTTACACTCAAGTTATAAACTTCCTCTTCATGAATTAAAAAAAAAATCTTTTTATTTTTACAATCTGAAATTTATTTTTTTTATGGAGATATTTTGTAAAATATCAAGCGGGCTGTGGTTCATTGATAAGTTTTTATTTGAATTTGGGGAGGGTTTTGACTGCTGAGTTTGGTATTTTGTCAAAATTTGGGTTCTAAGTTTAAGCTTGGACTTGGGTATTTTATTGCTGATTTACAAGTCACATTTTAAACCATATCAAATATATTAATTTGTAAATGAGATATGAAAGGTAAATAATTTTTTTGAAAAAATACATTGTAATAAAAAATCCAGGATGTAAGGATTTTTTTTTTATAGAATTCATACTTTCCTGTAAAGATTCTGTTGATTCTTTACTAGTATATACTTATTTTTTCTGTGTTTTCTGGCCAAGATCTTGCCACCTTTTAAAAGTATCACTGAAGTCTTTAAGTTAATTTGTAACACATAAACAAAGTAATGACAACTCCATACCAGAAGCTATCTTTGTCAAACTCTTGTATTATAATAGGAATGAATGATGAACAGTCAAGTCTGCATTACTGATTCACTGTGTAACTAAGACTCCTTTGTTTTCTGACACTTCTAGGGTTTATTGTATGAGGTCTTATATTGTCTGCTACAGCAAATATTCAGGTGGAATTAAGCATTTTGTTATTAATAATTGTTTACTGTGAAATCACTAATTTTCATGGGGGTTTTATTTTCGTTGTTTTCGTTGTATATAGAGACCCACAAATTTATGTCCACCACGAAATGTAAATTTTCATATGCACAACTTCTTGAAAGTTCTTCATCCACGAAATCAAATCCCCATGAACCAGCATTTTTTCCTAAAACCACGAAAATTTGACCCCACGAAAATATGTGATTTTACAGTATTTAACTATTTTATTCCATGTATTGCATGTGGTTGATGTTTGTGGGCAGCGCTTCAAAGCATGTCATTGACTTTATTATCCTACTGATAATTAATATCTGACACATAAACTTATTGTAATTAATCTAAATTATTAATCTTCATGCTAAATTATTTTTGTAATCATTTCTTTTTACTTCATACATAATATATTTATTGCTGTATCAAACACCAGTAAATGACATTTTAAAAAAGATCCTATATAATTTATTACATATAGAATCTGAATTAGAGAGAAAAGAATTTTAAGCTTGCTTTATTGTTTGTACAGTTGCCAGGGCGATTATGGGAGTATTTCCTGCAGAATGAGAAATATACAGAGGATGGACAAATTGTACGGGAGAAATACAAACGAGCACTCCCAAAACCTCAGAGGTAGGTATTTATAGAACACACTCCCTAAACCTCAAAGGTGGGTATCTATAAAACATACTGAAATCCCAGAGGTGTATATAGAACAGTCACAAATAGGCGGGTAGTTTTATTTGAAAATTCCCTGAACTAAACATCTTCAATAGAAGTGGATACCAAATATTTTCAAAGCAAGGGTAGGGGGATAAATTTATCACCACTTCCCTACCTCTAGGATAGAATATATTCATTAAATTTATTCAATACTCTCCAAACCTTATATAGGTGGGTATAAACCAAAATCTCTAAAACAGAAACAGACCAATAATATATATGTCATACAAAGAGAGGTAACTCTGATTTGACACTAATAGTAACGATAACTATTAAATGGTATCACAAAACAACACCAGCCCTGTGCCCAAAAATACACACACCACAGATACAATATAAATCCACAACCTCAAAACTTGTAAGGTACATGTAATTGTCAATGGAAATGATTCTGTATGTGTAGGATCAAAATTTATAGACTGGCATATATATTTATTATGCACCAAATGAGTTCATTTTGGGGTGTTTTATACTATTTTTATACTCCTCTTTCTATATATTTATATATACATGGCATTGTTTTACTGGAGACTTTAACTGAGACATTGTGTTACAGGTTGGAGTGGGATCTGACAGACTTTGAAGCAGATATAGATGAAGCCTACAACAACTTCAGAAAACTGGTAACTAGGAAGATAAATTATACATTCTTTTGATAACATATTACATATTTGTATATAGAGCTTGTAACACAAGATCTAATTGGACTGCAAGCTGATTCTAAATTTCTGTACACTTAACTTAGCCTTATAAAAAAACAGTTATGTCAAAAAGTACAGTTTATCAGAAAAATTTATGGGTCTGATTTGAATAGACCTCTGGTTGATTGTTCTATATAAATTATTTCTTTCACCAGGCAGATGAGTTTGATCTGATAGTGACCTCCCCTGATTACGGTAAAGGCTTCATTAAAAAGAAGAGGATGAGCCCAGATGGTTATATACAGGTATGGAGGAAATAATTAACTAATATGTATACATGTAGATGATTACATTTTTATATTGAAAAAAATAATATGCAGAGAAAATAGAATTCACTTTTTTTGTATATATATTTACAGAAGTTAATGGTTAGTTATTTTCTTTTGAAGATACAATAATTTGATAAAACATTTGAAAATAATTGCATTTTATATATATTGTTCAAATAAAGAGTTGTCTAACCTGATTTTGATTTTTTTCTTCCACCAGATGGCTCTCCAGCTGGCCTACTACAAGCTGCATAATAAAATCGCCAAGACTTACGAATCAGCATCTACAAGGTCAGAGAACTATATCACTGTATAGACTAACACATTGATATGTAGAGAGTTGATGTGCTCCCATAACACAAGGGCTTATATTATTGTAAAATAACTTTTTAAAATAAAGTTACTACATATTTCTTCTGCTTTCAAAAATGTTGCCTTCGCAGTATTTTGTTCTAGTTGGTTAGGGCACCTTATTATAGGAACTTAATGTTAGTCAAGGAAATTAAACCCAATGTATTCTGTTTTCAGGATGTTTTGTTCCGGGAGAACTGAGACAATCCGGCCGGTGTCTGAATTCTCCTGCCAGTGGGTCAAGAGTATGTTTAATGAGCGAGCTACGCGAGAGCAGCGGATCATGCTACTGAAGAGAGCGGTACAGTACCAGACACAGAATAAAATCGACGCCAGTCTGGGGATGGGGTGGGACAGACATTTATTTGGGATGTACGTGGCCTCTCGTGAGCTAAACATGCCACAACCAGCCTTGTTCAGAGATAAGGTGTGTTGTCTGTGTGTCTGTACAGTTGATGTGGAATAGAAGGTAGGTGTAGGTTTTATTTCTCTTGTCTCTGTGGAAAGCAGCTTTGGCTAA